GTAGTAATTGATATTCTTGTTTTAGAAGTCTTTATTGTCTTTTTAGAAAGTTACAACATAACTAAGAATATACCATAAATCCTTACCTTCCTTCTTTCCTTCAATTCTCTATTATTCTTCGTTCCTCCAACTTAAACTCTAAATCTTCCTTTACTGCTCCTACTTTACAAAAACTAAAATTCATTACATAATTACATCTAAATTTTGAGAATAATTCATAAATACTTTTCATTAAGTATGTTGTTAATACCTGCTAACTCTTATACCACCAAAATCCATGCAAAAATCCATGTATTGCTTTAAACTGATTTCTCCATTTAGAGTTATGTTTCGAAATTCCAAGAAATGCACTGTGCTGTCAATTGTCACATGAGTAACTTCGAATTCCCTTGCAGATCTACAGCTTCCTATACAGTCCCGAGAGAGAATCGTCCGCATAAGTATTGGGTATCTAACGGTATTCGTACTTGATACCATTGGGTACCAAGTACCCCGTATTTGTGCGGACGGTGTGCACTCCGCACCTAAAAATGTTTCCAAATTTTGCCTTGTTGCCTACGTTAAGGATTAGGGAAATGAGGGCCCACCAGATAACTGCCATCACTCACACCCTTTGAAAATATTCCTTTATTATATAAATAATTATCTGATTTAACTTTAATTCTATTAGTTGTATAATACTTATCCATCCATTAAACATCAACTTAACTGTATAGCAGATTTTAACAAGCAATTAATATTACATTAAATCTACACTTTAGATTATAATTAAATAAACTCTAATTTTCATACATGTATAAAAATTGGGTCTTACACTAATTTTTTTCCTAATAAAAATTGGACCGGGAACATTAACTTTTAACTTTTGACATGCTCTTTAGGATTTCGTTGAGAAGACTTTTATACTAAAAAAATAGCTTTACAAAATAATAAAAAAGTAATTCCAAACAAAGCCCAAGTTATTCTCTTTTTTTTCCAAAGATTTAAAACTCTGCTATGACAAATTTAAAATGTTAAAAATTTAATTTTTAAAGAAAATTTTGAGTTTATTTTTGGAAATTTAAAATTAAATTAATTTTGAGAATTTCATATAAATTCTCAAATTTATTTTAAAATTTAAAATCTCCTAAACTAAATTTCAATTGTTTTGAATTAATCTATTTTGTAAGATTATGAAAATCGGATCAGACAATGAACTAGAAAAATGAGAGCAACAGGACGAAGATTTGACCACAGTTAAACTGGATGACACAATAAATACTAATTTAATTTAAACATAACATAATAACTCACATAATAATTGAGAAAATATTTCAAATGTGTGATAAAAATTAAACAAAATAAATAATTATGAATATAAAACATGAATAATTATAATCTTCTTAAATTTAAAGACATTAAATACCAAGTAACTTATCGTCACCATGCTCTTCTTCTTGATAGAACACTTATACAAATTAAATGACTATATGAGTATTCTGTATTCAGCTAAACTTGAACAGAAACATTCAACCTTAACTTTGCAGATATAGAAAATTTTGGTCATGACTTTTATTGATTGAAACAGTTATATATAGGCAAATCATCAAAATGATTAATAAAGGACTTGAGTGAATCCTTCAAGTTATACAGTAGCATCAGAAATGACTTCATCTCACCCAAAGGCTCGCGCTCGAGAACGAGATTAGGCTTAAAGACGGGGACGAGAATGGGAAGAAGATGAATAGCGAAATAGAATTATAGAATAGGATTTTCGCCTTTTCGGTTTCATTTTGCATCAATTGATTTGTAATCAACAGATCGAAAATGTTTTTTTTTTTTATCGCGCTGTTTTTTAAAATAGGTTATGTTCCCCCGGTTCAACAATCAAACTACCGGTTAGATGCTGTCGCGCACTGTTTCGTTCGAAGCCAAATTCCATAGATAAAAGACCTGATCAGCCAACCAGTTTCTGATTCAACCAATCCAATTTTTAAAACCTTGCTACTTTGAGCAAAATCGAGGTTTAAAACAATTGTGCATACACTTGTGTGAGATACTTATTAATCTATGTCGACCTTAGACTAACTTGTCTCGACTAGTCGGTCATTTGCAAATTATATCATGTATTTGTATTTAGAATTTATTTTAGGGTCATGTATAGAACACACATTCTACCTAGATTTATCTTTTCATTGACCTTTTTGAGATTATACTAGTCCTTTCCTAATCATACTTTTTTTACTAAGTTTTTTTTTTTAATTCAATCATGCTCTTTTGATTGGATTCCTTCTAGTATAATCATACTCTTTTTAACTATATTGATCTTCTTAGTCTAATCATGATCTTTTGAGAAGATTATTTCCCTTGACAATTAGACATACCACATTTGTCTAGGTAGCTTTATATTCATAATCCAGTTCAATTATTGGAGGGTCACCCTTACCATGAATTCTTGTTACTTGAATGAGTCACTCTCATATAGTAAGTACCTTTGACCCTACACTCTAGGTATTGGGGTCTTCCTCCATCCCTTAAAATTTTTATCTTTCATGTATTTAAACAACATTAAAAAAATTTGAACATTTCATTTTGATAATTGATATATTTAATCATCTTTATCTCGTATATTTGCATTCTCATTTGCATATAATTTGAGACTGTATAAGATTAGCTATGTATGTATGATCCCTAGATCTAGAATTGACATGCAACTATGAGTGTTAACCTCATTTTTGAATGAGGTCAAGTCCATCTCCTAAGATATTCTTGAAACTTAAATTTTCCTACCTTAAGTGTGAAATTACCCTTCGAATGCTTCTAAGGATATACCCAAGGACTAGGGTTGTCAATTTCGGTTCAACCGGAAACTGTCTCGACACTATTTGGGTCAACCTGAACCCGACACATTTTTATAAATGGGTCAATTTTTCGAACCCTAACCCGACCTACTTCGAGTACGGACCCGACACAACTCGAATGGCTCGAGGCTGCGAAAAAATTGCTTGTTTTCGGGTAACAAAATGGGTCAATCTCCGCTTTTCGGGTCAAAACAAGTCAATCTCAAGTTTCCGGGTCAAAATGGGTTTACATTCCTCCATCCCTTAAAAAATTTTTATATTTCATGTATTTAAACAACATTAAAAAATTTGAACATTTCACTTTGATAATTGATATATTTAATCATCTTTATCTCGTATATTTGCATTCGCATTTGCATATAATTTGAGACTGTATAAGATTAGCTATGTATGTATGATCCCTAGATCTAGAATTGACATGCAACTATGAGTGTTAACCTCATTTTTGAATGAGGTCAAGTCCATCTCCTAAGATATTCTTGAAACTTAAATTTTCCTACCTTAGTGTGAAATTACCCTTCGAATGCTTCTAAGGATATACCCAAGGACTAGGGTTGTCAATTTCGGTTCAACCGGAAACTGTCTCGACACTATTTGGGTCAACCTGAACCCGACACATTTTTATAAATGGGTCAATTTTTCGAACCCTAACCCGACCTACTTCGAGTACGGACCCGACACAACTCGAATGGCTCGAGGCTGCGAAAAAATTGCTTGTTTTCGGGTAACAAAATGGGTCAATCTCCGCTTTTCGGGTCAAAACAAGTCAATCTCAAGTTTCCGGGTCAAAATGGGTTTACAGGTCAAAATGGATCAATTTCGAGTCAACGGGTCAACTTAAACATGACCTGATTTTTGAAACGGGTCGAATTGTTGAACCCTAAACCCGACCCATTTCGAGTCCGGGTCAACCCTAACCCGAAATTTTTGGATCGAAGTTCGAGTCGAGTTTTCATGTCGTGTCAAATATTGACCCTTAAACCTTAGGATTGGGCCTAGAATCCCTTGATTGATTCTTGAATCTATCTAATAGGTCAAGAAATGATAGATTCAATAGGTCAAGAAATGCTAGTCAACCCTTTTGACCTGTGGTTAAAGGTGATTTGACCAAAGTCAAACCCAAAACCACAAAAGCAATGCCTGAATTATATTACCTCAAGGCTGAAGCTTTGTTTGGGACGGCTTTCTTACTGCTTCTTAAAATATTTTTTAAGTACAAAAGTTAAAATTTTTGTACTCAAAACTTGCTTTAAGAAGCAATAAAAAAGACGTCTCAAATGAAGCCTAAATCTGGCTTTACATGACAATAAAATGAATATTTGTATACAATGAGTTGAGGAGCAAACTTGCCTGATTCTGCGTTTACCTGCATCCTTTGCTTTGCCTCAATCATTAGATTATTTCTCAAATTAGTATTAATCATACTAAACAATAATCTAAAAAGTTCATCATAGAGTTCCTTTCAACAATTGCACTTACCGGGTAGAACCATTGAGAGGGCTCCACAGTTCCAATCTCAATTGCCTTGCGTAGATAAAATGAAGAGCAAGTCAGAATACGTTATATTCAACAGTATGAGTATTGAGAATCGACCATCCACCGAGCAATGAAGTATATATTTATAATTATTTAACAAAATGCTGATGCAGCTGATCACTCGTCAAAAAAAATGTCCATAGAGCTATAAGCAAGCAGCAAAAACAAGTTTATTGGGCATGAAAACGTTGATCACAGGTACAGAAAATTGCAGAAGAAGAAAAGGATTGAACTCATGGAGAGAATACTGATCAACCTGCTATTTTGATTACGATGACAGTAAAACAAAGGGATTTTTACATACATAACACCTAATACTATTGAAAATACATATTTAACACATAAACTTCTATATTTACTAATATAACATCTAAAACTCTTCTTTTAATCAATTCTAGCATTCCATTTAAACCTTCCGTTAAAAATCACTATCAGCGACTGTCTTCCCCGTCAATGGCATCCTTTCACAGTGAATACAAGTATCTCATCGTTTCAATGGAGTAGTAGAATAGAAGGAAATGAGGATTTTATGTTGTATATTAGTAAATATATAAGTTTAGGTGTTGAACATGTATTTTCAATAGTTTTAGATATTAAAAATCCCAAAAAAGAAAACGGTGAGAATAGCCAACAAGTTAAATTGGTATTATAAGCATCAAACATATACAAAGAATAGGTATCAATGATCTAATTGAAGAATTGAAAATGCAAGTATCCCCTATCTGCTTCCTGCCAACAATCATAACCAAAGAAAAATCAAATCAAATAATGGGGAACAGGTACTTCAATCGTGGGGTGAATCCAGGCTCTACAAGGGCTTTACATGTATCTTATTGAAATTGAATGACTTGATTGGCTGATATTTTGACTAAAAGCTATACCTATCTATATTTCTACAAAGAGCCTCCAAGGCAAAGAAAAGAAATAATCCTAGGTTAAAGGATCCACCACTATCATTGACTGCTTAGCAAGTCAAAACGGTCAAACCTAGCGTAGAGAATGATGGTGTGTTACGCCATGAACAGATATTTCAGGTCATCCACTGTTAGACGAGTCTGCCGGCTTCCAGATTGGTCTTCTCCGAAAGCATAAGCAACCATCTTTCGTTTCTTCTCCTATAAAATTAAATAATAAAATGAAAATGTAGACAACATCACGTCAAACAATAACCACGAGCACGGTGAAAGTCCAGCGTAAAAGAAAATTGATCTCTAGCAGTTCACAATGCGTAAATAAATCACCCAAAACATACAAGGTTTAGGGGGTAATGGTGTGGCCTGTTTGTGTTATATCATCACTTATTTAGTTAAGTAGATAATTACGAATTTTATTCTAATGATTTCTTGGGGTTTATTTATGAAAAATAAAATGGGAAGCCATATCATTGTTCATGATTCTAATAATTTGATGATTAAGATGTCATTGAATTCTTTATGAGAAGTACATTATTATGGATAAGAGCAAATTTAAGAAGGGGCATGACTGGGTATGGGCTCATTATATCTTTATATATATATAATATTTATTAATAAGGCTCAGCATTTGATATTTTTTTTAGTAATAAAATTGGTTTATGTACCCACAAACAAAAAAAAATTCTAGCTCCATCACTGATTATGAATACCATTAGCATAGAACTGATTATTAGTTGACTAAAAATCTAAAATTAACTGCATTTATGACCTTATTGCTTACAATTGATGACTTCATCTTCGATATTTGCACAAGATAACATGCAAGGCACACATGTACTATGTACATAGTTAAACAGATGATGTTAAATGTTTATTTTGATCTCTCCATAAGGGAGAATTGACTATATAGATCATGCGATGTACTTTATTTGGTTTGGATGCAATCGACCAGTTACATTTATAAGCTAGGAGTTTGTGAACACAAGGTGAGGCCAAGTTTTCCATTATACTGAACTTGTTAGCATGTTGAGTATAGTTTCAAGTTTGAATATTGCTCCAAAAACAAACAATTTTTTTGGCTTGTATCAAACTTGAATCGAAGCAAATTAGTCGAGCGATGAGTTGAAATTTTGAATTAAAATTCTTTTCTATCCAATTTCAAGCCTTCGGTAGATCGGATCGACCTGGCTCAAAATCAAATTGACCCGAAATGAAATCAGAACTAGTAATTTTTATATGTAAATATATATGCATGCATGACACATAGATGACTCAAGTTAGAATCCCACTTTAGTACATTAAAAGTTAAAACCAATTGATGTTTTTTTTAGCAGCTGTCTGAACTTATCAAGTGGCTATTGTTTTAGACAGATTATAAACATTTCAACCTCTCAATATTTAACGTTAGAATTTAGAAAGAACAAATACCTGGAGAGCCAATATACGATCTTCAACAGTGTCCTTCACAGTCAACCGAGAAACTGTTACAGGCCTTATCTGTCCAATACGGTGTGCTCTATCAATTGCCTGGTCTTCAGTTGTAGGGTTCCACCATAGATCTAGAAGAATAACATGACAAGCTGCAACCATGTTCAAACCCAGACTTGCAGCTTTCAGTGACATAATAATGACAGTTACCTGGAAAAAGTTGTGTTCCGAAAAACATAATTAAATGATTCATGGTTAACAGGTGAGGTGTACAAAAACATCTTATGACTAATGAAAACATTACAGTGAGGAAAAACGAGGGATATTTGCTAACCTCTGGAAGCATGTTAAAATCTTTGATGGCTTTCTCCCTAGCTGCGACAGACATTGTTCCGTCAAGTCTCCTATACAATATGTGGTAATCTTTTAAGGAAACCTCCAGCAAATCCAACATTCTAGTCCACTGGGAGAAAACTATGGCTTTTTCTGTTTGCTTTACATTTGAAGTTTCATGATTAGACTGTTCAGCAGAAGTATCAAATGAACAACCTAATGAATTTGTATTGACTGTGTCTTCTAAGAAGATAGAGGATTCATTATATGACTTAGCAGATTTACAAAGTGAAGGTGAACTTTTGGAAAGAGGAAGAGAACAAAGGATCTCAAGGGCAGCCCTTATCTTTGAAGAACCAGTGCAGAGGCTTTCTTTAAAAATTTCAGGCCCATGCTCCACGGAAATGGGATTATCAGGGAAAAGGCAAAGCCCTGGTTGTTCGGACAGACAACTTCTTAAGGTGTCCATAGAAAATACAGAGCCACCACTTAGTTTTTCTCCACAGTTCGCCGAGGGACAAATGTTGTCGTCTCCTGTTAGATGCTCACAAATGCACTGATTGCAGAAAACATGTCCACAGATGGAAACAACAGCATCCTCAGGCGGGTCCTGCATGGATGACAGAAAATATAATTGATGACATTTTAGGCCAGGATCACGAATAATGATACTAACTAGGACCAAGTTGGTTAATTTATTGAGGAAAAAAAAAGTTAAAATCTGCATGAATTGCGCCAACTAAAAGGCGCACCGTGGACTTCAAATCATCATCATGATCAACCTTCTCTACTTAGCACATAATGTTATAACTATTTTAAGCTAATAATTTTGCACAATTTCTATCAAAATTATTTATTGTCAGCCTTTTTTTTAATCCTTCAACAATACTATTATCTAAATGCCTTATATATGAGCCTTCTACCTTCACTGCATGGCCAAGCCACATTAATCTAATTTCCACTAACATATATTTAATGAATGCTACTCTTACCATCCCTCTAATATAATTACTTCTTAATCTATTCTTCCAATTTTTTCTCACACATTATTTATAAAGTTCATAACCTTCCTTGTATGAAACTCATGCTTAGTGTTATGGTATTGCTTCATAACGTGTATATTGTCCAACTTCCTAAGGGCCTTGCACCCTTGTACATGGTAGTCTCACACTTTTTAGACATAGCCTCTAAGTAGTACTAACTTTTAGTCATCTACTTAGATTAGTCCGCCACTTGTCTAACCAGTTGAGGATGCATTTAGGATATTAATTTATCTTATTTTTCATCTAAGACGCAGACATCTCAAGGTTTTTGACTAGAAAGTTGTCAAATATTAAACTAAAAAATTAGGTGTTAACTACAAGACATAACGCATCAATAGTTAACCTGAGCATTTAAGAATTATTGACTTGTCAAGTAATGAGTTCTTAGTTCATGAAGTATGTAATTTGGATATTTTTGAGATCTTTATTATACAATTTGAGTAAGCAAATTAAATTGTAAACTCCAATGGTTGAGTCCAAAAATCTGTGGTGAGGTTCTTAAAGTCAAATTATTTAGCTTAGAGTTCCCTGAGCCAAGAATTAAAGAACATCATATTTTATTTAAATTGCCTAAGGAAGAGTTCCTTGAGTGCTTATTGCACTATAAGTGATGAGGACATTAGCAGAAGATTTCGACGTGTCTACCATCAGAGGAATTATAGATCGATGGCTACGATTCAGAGTCTTTATTTATGATGCATTTATGTATCTTATTTTTATTTATGTTCTGGTTTACCATTGTAAACCCAAGAGAGATTAGTTTATGTTGTAGCCCCGAGGGCATTTGAGTCTTTGTGTTTTTCTTTTATTTGAGGCCTATATATGATGGCCCTCCCTATTGTATGAAATGATGATTGATGAATGAAATTTCAACTTTTGTTCTTCATTTCTTTGTGAGCTCTTGAGACAAGAGAGAACCCTAGAAGAGGACCAAAGCAATACCCGACAGCCGCCGGAAGAGTCCGGGCTCTCGGTTTCCCCTTCCTCTTTTTTCTTCCCCCACCTTTTCTCCTTACCAAGCCGTCGGCCACCTTTCCTTCACCCCCACACCGCCATCCACCCACACCATCCCCTAAAGTTCGGCCACTCCTCTCCCCTCCACCCATACCCATTGGCCCCCTTCCCCCCTCCGCCTTAAGCCACCGACAGCCCTTCCATCCCCCACCAAACCAAGGTCCAGCCCCTCCCTTAGCCACCGGCCTACCTAGCCCAAGCCCAAGCCGCCACCCCTTCCTTCTCCACAAACCGTAGTTTCAAATTCAGATTGCCTCTTAAATACCTTCCTAATTTATTTTATTATTAATTTGAAAAGTATCTTAATTTGAATTCAAATGAAATTCAAAACCTTTCCTAATTAATAAACCTATTTTAGGAAGCCTCCTCAATCCCCTACAATCTAAAATTAAATTGGGATTCATTCAAATTTCAACATTCATTACACCTAGACACATTCATTGAACGCGGACAACCCCCCCCCCCCCTTCCCTTTTCTTTTGGCCGGCTTCCTCTCTCCCCTCTCTTCTCCTAATTAATTCTCTCTATTAATACTCTTAATCAACACCCTTTCTTCAAGGTTGACCGCCCCGCTCAGTCCCCCATTAAAGTAGATTTGAATTTCAAATTATTCCATCCATTTCCAATTATAAAATCTGAAATTAAATTGCCTAAGGAAGAGTATTGGACTATAAGTGATGGAACATTAGCAGAAGATTTTGGCGTATCTACCATCGGAGGAATTATAGATCGATGGCTACGATTCAGGGTCTTTATTTATGATGCATTTATGTATTTTATTTTTATTTATGTCCTGTTTTATTATTGTAAACCCAAGAGGGATTAGTTTATGTTGGAGCCCCGAGGGCATTTGAGTCTTTGTGTTTTTCTTTTATTTGAGGCCTATATATGATGGCCCTCCCTATTGTATGAAATGATGATTGATGAATGAAATTTCAACTTTTGTTCTTCATTTCTTTGTGAGCTCTTCAGAGAAGAGAGAACCCTAGAAGAGGACCAAAGCAATATCTGATAGCCGCCGAAAGAGTCCGGGCTCTCGGTTTCCCCTTCCTCTTTTTTCTTCCCCCACCTTTTCTCCTTACGAAGCCGCCGGCCACCTTTCCTTCACCCCCACACCGCCATCCACCCACACCATCCCCTAAAGTTCGGCCACTCCTCTCCCCTCCACCCATACCCGTTGGCCCCCTTCCCCCCTCCGCCTCAAGCCACTGACAGCCCTTCCATCCCCCACCGAACCTAGGTCCAGCCCCTCCCTTAGCCACCGGCCTACCTAGCCCAAGCCGCCACCCCCTCCTCCACAAACCGTTGTTTCAAATTCAAATTGCCTCTTAAACACCTTCCTAATTTATTTTACTATTAATTTGAAAAGTATCTTAATTTGAATTCAAATGAAATTCAAAACCTTTCTTAATTAATAAACCTATTTTAGGAAGTCTCCCCAATCCCCTACAATCTAAAATTAAATTGGGATTTGTTCCAATTTCAACATTCATTACACCTAGACACATTCATTGAATGCGGACAATCCCCCCTTCCCTTTTCTTTTGGTCGGCCCCTTCTCTCCCCTCTCTTCTCCTAATTAATTCTCTCTATTAATACTCTTAATCAACACCCTTTCTTCAAGGTTGACCGCCCCACTCAGTCCCCCATTAAAGTAGATTGAATTTAAAATTATTCCCTCCTTTTCCAATTATAAAATCTGAAATTATATTCAGACTTTAATTTATTCACCCCCCCCCAACCCACACACACCCACCCACCTAAACCAAAGCTGAAAATTCAAGAGACCTCCCCTGGTCTTGGCCAACCACTCCAACCTCCCCCCCCCCCTCCTCCTCCTCCTCCTCTTCTTCTCTTCTCCATTATTTCATACACCCCCAAGGAAGAAGCTACACAACCCGACCTCCTCATGAATGGTCAATCCTGAAAGAGACCACGAATTCGTAGACAATCATTAAGGACGAGTAGACGTGTTGAGATCATCCTTCTTCGACCTCAACTTGGAGATCGACGACTACGTCGACCGGATTCTCTTCACTTTAACGTCTGTCATTGACGAGCACCAAATCTGCGGATAGTTGCGAGTTATTGGACATCCACCAACTTCTTCCCCACATGCTAACTTTTCATTGGGCAATACTGCATGCGTTTTTTGTCTTTTAGTGACATCTTTAAGTTTGCTAACATTATGCTTCCGCTAAATCCACCTCAACAGTGAAAGTGAGAAGAACTCAAGGTGAATTTTCTATTTGTTCAACGATGGATTTCTGTTGTTTATGCCTCTAGCTCTACTATAAGTTTGTTGTTATTTTAAATTGTCCTATTAATCTTTCTTGTAACTGCATGCCAAAACACAACTACAATTAAGAAATCCTAAAATCTAATCTTGTGAAATATTAATTTTAAAATTAGCAAGCTTAACAAATTTTTATTAAATACATGCAATTCCTAATATGTTTCACATCAATAAGATTTTGAATATATATGATTACACTTTCATTTGAAAAGAAAAGATAATATAGTTGCCTTAGAGTATGATTTTATTTCTCAATCATAAGTAAAAAAAAATATGTTTCTTTGGAAACATCTCTATTTGATCAAAAGTGCATCCTCAAACATTGTCCTAGATTCTTCTAAATCAAGTACAAGACTGCAAGCTGCTTCCAAAGTGGTAACTCCTCTAGCGAAAAGTTCATTACGAAGGTCTTCCCTAAGGCCAGCTCTAAACATAGATAGGATTTAGGCAGGTGTAGTGGTCTCTTGGTCACTACAACGAATCATGTAATCATCAAAGGCAGAAATGTAATCTTTCACGGGTTTACTACCCTGAGTCAGTCTATTCCATCTATCTAATAGTTTGGGGTAGTAGAACGGAGGGAGGTATTTTTGCTTGAGCTCTTGCTTCATAGCTCGCTAGTCAGCGATGGGGTACTCGCCTCGAGCTTCACGCATATTTTCTAGGTTTGTCCAATATTGACTAGCTCTACCAGTAAGCTTTATTTTAGCGAACCTAACTTCCTATCTTCTAAAATATTATACCACTTGAAATAATTATTCATCCCTTTAATCCAATCCAAAAAAACTTGGGGGGTACCATCAAAGGAAGGGGCATCTATGCGGATGTTCTTAAGTAACTGAGCGTCATTGTCACTCCAATTTGGGTCATGACCTATGGGTTCCTGATTGGTCCTATGGTTTTGACGGTAAGGGTCTCGAAGAGGTCCACACTCAGCTCATGCTTCCTCAATATAAGGAGGAGGAGGCCTATAAGGGGTATAAATCGTATGGTTTCCTAGTCTTTCAATGTGGTCTAAACGTTCTCCAGCTTATCGTCTAAAGTCAGCCAACTCTCCTTGGGTTTCTCTAATCTTTTGGGTCACAGTTCCTAACAGACCTACAATTAAGTCTAAAGTATGTTGAATTTGCTCGAGGTCTATTGACTCAAATTAGGTGACTGATGCAGACACAATAATAATGTAAAGATGATGTATGGAGGTGGATGCAAGCTATGACGTCTACCAAAAACAAGCGAAGAATCATAGAATGCAACTAAGACACAACCATGCTCGAATACCAAGATGATGTGAAACATAATAGGAATTGCATGAATTTAATAAAAATTTGTTAAGCGTGCTAATTTTAAATTTAATGTTTCACAAGATTAGATTCTAGGATTTCTTAGTTGTAATTGTGGTTTGGTATGTAGTTACAAGAAAGATTAACATGATAATTTAAAATAACAACAAATTTATAGTAAAGCTAGAGGCATAAACAACAGGAATCCACCGTTTAACAAATAGAAATTTCACCTTGAGTTCCCCTCTCTTCACTCCTGAGGTGGTTTTAATGGAAGGATAATTTTAAAAAACTTAAGAATGCCACCAAAAGACAAAAAACACCTGCGGTATTGCCCAACAAAAAGTTAATCAGAGGTTAATGTCAAATAACTCGCCACTGTCCGGAGACTCGGTGTTCGTCGATGGCAGATGTCAAAGTGAAGAGGGTCCGGTCGACATAGCCGTCGACGGTGTTGTCAATCTCCAAATTGAGGTTGAAGAAGGGAGACCGGAGAATATCTACTCGTCCTTGAAGATCATACACGAATCTGTGGTCTCTTCCAGGATCGGCCATTCATGGGGATAAAGCCGATGGTGTAGCTTCCTCCTTGAGGTGTATGAAATAATTGAGAAGAGAAGAAGAAGAGGGGGGGGGGGGGTTTGGAGGGGGGGGGGGGGGGGGGGTTTGGAGAGGTTGGTCGAGGCTAAGGTAAGGGGCTTCTTAATTTCAGCTCTAGGGTTAGAGAGGGAGAAGAAGCAATTCCGAATTCTAAATATTTAATTTCAGATTTCAAGGGTGGAAAGGAGGGAAATATTTGAAATTTAAATTCCCTCTAATTGGGGGAAGGAGGGGGCAACACATCTTGATGGGGCTTTGATTGAAGGCAATAAAAGAAAGTGATTTAATTAAGAAGAGAGAGAAGGAGGGGGCTAGCCAAGAGAGAGAGGGGAGGGATTTGGAAAGTGTCCACATTCAATAATATGTCTAATACAATGAATGTAAAATTTGGAATTAAATTCTAATTAATTTCAGATTGGAAATCAATTAGGGGATCTTCCAAAATAAGTGTAGGCTAATTAGGAAAGAATTTAAATTTCGAATTCATTTGAATTTGAAATAAGAAACTTTCCAAATTAGATAAAGGCTAAATTAGGAAAGTAATAAAGGGTTAATTGAAGGGGAATCAAGGGGTTAGGGATGCGTAGGCCGGAGGCTTTGGATGGGGATCAAGGTCTCGGATGTGATGGGGGAGGCCGGTGGTTTGATGTGGAGGAGATGGGTTTGGCCAGCGTGTGTAGGGTGGAGGTAGGGAATTTGGCCGACGGTTTGGGGTAGGGATGGGGAATTTGGCCGTCGGTTTGGGTGGAGATGGGGGAGGGGTGTGGGTGGCCGATGGTAGGGGCTGAGGGAAAGGTGGCCCGCGGCTTGGTGAGGAGAAACGGGGTAGGGAAGAGAAAGGGGAAGGAGAAACCGAGAGCCCGGACTCTTCTGGCGTTTGTCAGGTATTACTTTGGCCCTCTCCTAGGGTTCTCTCTTCTCTCAAGAGCTCACAAAGAAAAGAAAGCAAAAGGCTGAAATTTCATTCATTAATCATCATCTCATACAATACTGAGGGACCTTATATATAGGCCTTAAAATAAAAGAAAACATAAAGACTCAAATGCCCTCGGGGCTATAACATAAACTAATCCCTCTCGGGGATACAATGGTAAACTAGAATATAAATAAAATACATAAATGCATCATAAATAAAGACACTAAATCGTAGCCGTCGATCTACGATTCCTCCGATGACAGACACGCCGAAATCTCCTGTTGATGTCCTCATCATCAAGCCACCCAAAAAAGTAGGTGATGGTTCAAATAAAACAATATTGCCCATAAGAGCAACTTCCTTAAGAAACTATAAAGTTCGACAGTTTCACAACAAATACATTTATCAGATTTATAATTTTATGTTAAAGATTCTTACACAATCTCCATAAACAAACCAAGCTATCCATTATTTTTTACACGTTTTCTTTAAGGCCATGCTATTTCAAAGTTCTCCTTCCCAGTGAACTATCCAGCTTATTGAATGGAAAGAAAAGCCAGCATATACACCATATTAATGTTCACAGCACTCTAAATTGCGGTTAACCAAGTCATGACAGAATATTCCAAAGAGTAGAGACTATAGGGAATGACAGACCATTTATTTTAAAAAGCAATTAAGTAATTAAGTACATTGATAATTTATTCAGTAAAATTAAGTGATAAAGAAAATATAAAAAAGCAAACAAACATCACCAATAATCTTGGAACATAAAAGAGATGATTTTAAATTATCTAATTAAACAAAAGTAAAAGCAGTTAGTTTAACATGTGATGCAAAAAAATAAAGACAACTTCTCGAGGATTCATTCACATGCAATCCTGTCCTTAGCTTCCTCATGCATCAACTTGCTTCTTGTTCTGAAATTTAAAAAAAAAAACTCCCATAAAAGTTACAGCGTGCATTTGATTCAACAGAGAGCTTTCAAGCACCGTATACATTAACAAAACTGCATTCAACACAACTTTTAAAAGCAAAAAAAAAAAAACAGAAACAAACAACTCACATTGCAAATGGTACAGATCGCTAAACAAGCTTCAAGACAGCTTAGAAGATTCATGAGCTTATCCTTTGCTAGCTTCTTTGCTGTATTTAAGGAAGACTTCCAAACAGAATTTGAATCACGACCTTTTACCAAAAGAGGGTGATCACAAGCTTGCCTAAGCCGCAAAAGCATCAACAAAATGTTCACATAATTTTGCTTAACGGTTCCAGCATCTGCATAAACCTGAAGAAGGGAAACCTTAGGTAAGGAGCCAAAATAAAATCGAAGAATAACCAAGATATACAAATGAGGCTACAGACACAAACAGATTGATGTGTGTTCAATTGAGAGGCTACTTCTTTAAAATACCCACCTTAAATTGCTCCCGAGATTCAGCTTCCAATGCCAAATAAAATTCAAGCTCTTCATCAGAGAAATCAACCTTCTTTAAAATAACTGTCTTTGGTGGCAATGCGATAACTGGCTTTCCATCTATAAGTGTGCCTATACACAAACATTTTTTTTATAAAAAAAAAACATAAACAAATAGCGTTTAACAACATATGCAATAGCACTGAACAAAGATATAAAGTCCAATTAGTTACAACAATCCTTTCAATTAAGTGTTAGTTTAGACTGCTGAAAGTTCTAAATTTAATAGAACTAATGAATCCTTATTAGTGCAAGCTTATAAACAAGATGGAATATTTGGACAATAAGAGAGACAAGAGGAGTTAAAACTACTCCACAACATAAGGGTCTAAACTTGGCCAGACCCAGCTGGCTCAGAGTTGGAATTTGCAACAAGGTTTTAGGATTGGGACAAAGTGAAGATAGGGTCAAGTAATGGTGGCGCCCAACCTCATCTCTAATAAAGCATTTTATTCTATCATACAACACTTTACAACATATTTCATCATATTAACAACAGCTGCATAAGCCCTCCAACCTTTTTTTTTTTTTTGCACAAACCTATAAATCTTAATTATTTATTTAAGAATAATCAAACGATGTCTAACTTGGTAAGTTAGGAGTGTTTTAAAAAGGATGATATCAAATCCACTAGAAATGAATTTGAGTTGTAGAGCCAAACTCAAATGTTTCAAGCTTTAGTCCACGCTAACTTCAACTCGACATATTGAAATCACAAGCCGTAAATGACAGGGAAAAACCACTTAATAGACATGAATGAGAACAATCTGGGGACGTAAGCCAAGTTTAGCTGGCATACTAAAAAATTTAGTGTTTGAGCACCATATGAAAGATGTTGCAAGCCATGCATTGTAGTGAAAGCCAGTTAGTGGGCATAAATGTGAAACATCACAGCATCCTACCAAGGTACCTTGAGCTGTTGAGCGAAAGCTTGGCGATGTGGGCCATCTCAACCACACTTCATACTATAGTTTAAACATTCCACTACTTCTCGTTATCACTACTATTATCTACAGTTTTAGTATCTAAATATAGAATATAGTACAAAACACACCTTTTCTATTGTTTTGCTTGATCTAGGATGCAGAGATACTCCTCAAGAGAATACTAAACATATATGAAACTGTAATAAAAAAGATGGTTAAGCAATATTATCAATTTACTCTTGGTTCCTTATTTATTGTTTCTCCTAGTTATTGTTGTGATCTTGTTCTGCTACCACGCCATATTGGTATCAGAGCCATATCATCGAATGGCAGAAAGCAGTAGACAGCAGGCACCCGACGACGATCAGAGTCTGGAATTCTTGTGGATGGCGCAAGCCAATCTCACTCGACATTGAAAAACTCACTGTAGAAGTTTCCAAGCTCTCTACTGAAATGCGTCGCGAGCTATATCAAATCAAGACAAGCGGAAACAATCATCCAGTTGTGCCAGCAACCACATTGGCTTTATGGACAGCTAACCCTAGGGAGCACAACTTCAAACGACCGCCTAGAAGATTCTAATTTAGAAGAGGAAGAAAGTGAGCAGCAACACCACTTTGAAATGTCTGAGTCCACAGAAAGGGATCTACCACATCAAATCAAGACAAGCGGAAACAATCATCCAGTTGTGCCAGCAACCACATTGGCTTTATGGACAGCTAACCCTAGGGAGCACAACTTCAAACGACCGCCTAGAAGATTCTAATTTAGAAGAGGAAGAAAGTGAGCAGCAACACCACTTTGAAATGTCTGAGTCCACAGAAAGGGATCTACCACATCAAATCAAGACAAGCGGAAACCCCCCCCCCCCCCCCCCAAGGAGATTTGGAGGACAGTTGCGACATCAAGGAGAATTTCATGTAAAACTGGACATCATTCTTCGACAAGCGACTACACATTGAAGATTACGTGGACTGGGAAAGAGCCGTTAAAACTTTTTTTTTAGTATATGGAAATACTACCATAGAAACAAATTAAATATATGTGGCTTGTAGATTGAAAGGAGGTGTAAGTGCATGACGACAGCAGATAATACAGTCTCGAAGCCTTAAAGGAAAGGGTAGGGTTCGGAGTTGGTACCAAATGAAGCAAATGCTTCGAGGTCACTTCCTACCCACATATTTTAAACTAATGTTGTACCTACAATATCAGCACTACACTCAAGGAAATAGGAGTGTTAGTGATTATACATAAGAATTTTACAGACTTAGTGCCTGCAACAACTTAAATGAATCTGACAACCAAATGGTAGCTCGCTATATTGGGGGTTTGAGGGAGGTCATCCAAGATAAACTTGAATTAAGCTTTGTTTGGTCGATGTCACAAGCAATCAACTTCGCCTTAAAGGCGGAACTACAACTCAATCTGCATTCTCGTAGCTATACCTGTAGAGGATTTGGCAAATATTAAGCAGACCACCATAAGGCACTAGCGCAAGCTCAAACCAATGCACCTGCAGCAGTGACATCCAACACCCACAATGCTGAGAACAAATTCCCAAACATAGCAAAAGCACCAATGAAGGATAATTCATATGTTAAACCATCCCATGTCAAAATGTTTTAGATATTTTCAAACCAGGCCACAAGTCTAACGAATGTTCAAATCATCAACAAGTGCAAGTGTTGGAAGGACAACACCATGAAAATGAAGTTAACGCTGTAGTTGACCACAAGTTGGAGATAGAAGAATTGATGGGTGATGAGCATGAACCAGTTGTGTGTGTGCGCTTCAAAACTTGCAGTTAGCACCTTGGCAACCGATTAACTCTCAGTGAAATGCCATATTCTGAACACAATGCGCAATTAATGGTAAAGTTTGTGACTTATTGATTGATAATGATTGCACTGAGAACATAGTGTCCATAATAGTTGTTCAAGCCTTGCACCTCAAGATGACAAAACATCCCCATCCTTATAAGATCAGTTGAGTCAAGAGAAAAATGCATATCATTATATCCAAAATGTGCAAAGTAACTTTCTCTATTGGTATACACTATGTGTCTAAAGTTGTATGTGACATCCTTGACATGGACCTTAGCAACTCATTCTTGGTCGACCATGGCAGTTTGATATTGGGGTGGCTTATGATGGCAAATCCAATGTTTACTCCTATGAATAGAAGGGTAAGAAGCTTTGTTTCCTTCCAGATCCACCATCTAACAATTTGACTATCAGTAGCAAGGATAAACCAGAACTCAATATTGTCTCTGGGAATTCCATTCTTCACTCCTGGTGTGACAGTACAACTATGTTGGCTATAGTTATAATGGAAGAGAATCCTCATATTGAAGATCATTCCATTTCCAATGATTTACAACAATTGTTAGCAAAATATTCAGATATAATGCCAACTGAGTTTCCTGCTTGCCTTCCACCACTCTGATCCTTACAACATCACATAGATTTTCACCCAGGTGCATCATTACCAAACCTTGCACACTACAGAATGAGTCCCAAGGAACATGTTGTTTTGCAGGGCATAATCAATGAGTTATTGTAGCAACAATTGATACAACCCAGTTTAAGCCCATGTGATGTCCCTGCCTTGCTAGTGTCAAAAAAAGATGGGTCCTGACGAATGTGTATTGATAGTCGAGTCATTGATAAAATCACTATCAAGTATCACTTTCTAGTCCTCTGTTTGAAGACATGTTAGATTCCCTAACATGTGCCAAAATATTCTCAAAGCCATATTTACGTAGCGGATATCATCAAATTCGCATACGACCTGGAAACGAATGGAAAACTGCTTTGAAAACTCGTGAAAAGACTATATGAATGGAAGATAATGCCTTTAGGGTTTACTTTGATGAAATTCTCGTGTTTAGTTGCTCGATCAGTGATCATTTGAAGCACTTGGCTGAAATTTTTGAGTTGTTGAAGTCGCTAACAGAAGTTCGTAGATTTCACGACCTCGCAAACTTTTATCGTAGATTTATCTGTGGCTTTAGCATACTCATGGCACCAATAACCGATTGCTTGAAGCTTCCATCCTTCTAATGCTCTACTTAACAACAAAATAGATTTGAAGCCATTAAATAAGCTATAATTTCTACACTTGTTGTAGCCATGTCAGATTTCAACAAATCCTTTAACGTGGACATTGATCCTTCCGCTATAGGCATTGGCGCCATACTTTCACAAGAGGACAGACTCATTGCATTTTTCAGTGAGAAATTGAGCCCACAAAGGCAGAAATGGTCCGTCTACCAGCAAAAAATTGTATGTCGTCGTCCGTGCACTTAAACAGTGGGAACATTACTTCATCAGGACTTCGACTTGTGAAGTGATCATCGAGCCTTACAGTACCTCAACACTCAGAAAAACATCATTTGGATGCATGCTAGGTGGGTGGTTTTCTTACAAAAGTTTAGTTTTGTTCTAAAACATAAAATAGGAACACAAAATAGGGTGGCCTACGCATTAAGCGGGAGATCTGCCTTGCTGACGCAACTACAAACAGAAATCACTGGTTTAACTTGTCTTAAAGAATTATATTGTCTGGATAAATATTTTATGGAACCTTGGCAAAGGTATTCGAAGGGCAAACTTATCGTGACTTCACACTTCGACATGGATTTCTCTTCAAAGGTAATTCCCTATGTGTTCTTGAATCCTCTTGGCGTCAACATTTACTCAAAGAAATGCACTATAGCGGCCTAGCTGCTCACCTGCAACGTGAAAAAATGCAGGAGCAACTACAACAACATTTTGTTTAGCCTCACTTAAGAAGATATGCCACATGATTTGGGGAAAAATGCCCCATTTGTCAAATGTACAAAGGAAACAGCCAAAACACTGGATTATACATGCCATTACCGATCTCAACTTCAATTTGGGAGGATCTGAATATGGATTTTGTGCTAGGCCTTCCACTCACTAAGAAAGGAGATAATTTGATCATGGTAGTTGTTGACCGATTTTCTAAAATGGTTCACTTTGTTACTTGTAAAAAGAAATTCGGATGCACTTCGAGTTGCAAAACTATTCTTTCATGAAATTTTAATGCTCCATGGAGTACCTCGAAGCATTACATCAGATTGAGACATTAAGTTCATTAGCCACTTTTTGCGAGACATATGAAAATAATTTCATACTAAAATTAGGCTAATCTCGGCATACCATCCACAATCCGATGGACAAACTGAGGTGGTAAATATAACACTCAGCAATATACTTTGTTGCTTGGTTCAAAACAATCCTAAATAGTGTGATGACTTCTTGAGCCAAGCTAAATTTGCCTTCAATTCTATGTCTAATACATCCACTAGAAGATCCCCATTCAGCATAGTTTATACCAAGGCACCTAATCACACAGTGAACTTATTTGTTCTTCCCCAATGCCACAGTAAAACTTCCACTCAAATGACCGAGCAATTCAATTCAATATTAGAGGATGTATGCCTCCAATTAGAGAATTCAAACGCTTAGTACAAACAAGATGCAGATAAACACAGGCGAACCAAGATTTTTCAACTTGGAGATCTTGTTATGATTAGGTTGCACAAGGAGAGATTCCCAACTGTCACATATTCTAAATTAAGCCCACGTAAAATTGGCCTAGTCCCAATTAAATTGCGCATTAATGAAAATGCATACATTGTTGTCCTCCCAAATGATATTCTTACTTCCCCTAAGTTTAACGTCTCAGAATCTCCACTTACTACCCACCAGATGAAGCAAACATCTCGTTGGAAGTCTCGAGCAGCATTTCTTCTGAAGCAGGGGAGAGATGATGTGGGACATCTCAACCACACTCCACACTATAGTTTAAACTTTAGTATCTAAATATAGAATATAGTACAGAACACACCTTTTCTATTGTTTTGCTTGATATAGGATGCAGAGATACTCATTAGGAGAATACTAAGCATATATGAAACTGTAATTGAAAAGATGGTTATGCAATATTATCAGTTTACTCTTGGTTACTTATTTGTTGTTTCTCCTAGTTCTTGCTGTGATCATGTTCTGCTACCACGCCACGTGGCTTGCTAACAATTTGAATAAAAAACTCAATTGCTAACAATTTGAATAAAAAACTCAAGCTCCAAAGCCAACAAAATAGAATATAGCAGGATTATTGATCCGAATTCAGCAAACATAAAGACTCAGTAAAAATTGGTTAAACCAATGCTTCTCTTACAAGTAAAGGGAAAGATGAAGTTTGATACAAGATTTGAAATTGCGCAGTCGAGCATTGAAGTGTTTTCTTTATGTGAAATGAGTCTTAAGCTTCAAGGCATTTTGAGACTTAAGACTTAGAATTAAATCATTAACTAAAATTAAAAAAAAATGAAATAATAAGCAAACTAACAAAAAAGTAAAATTTTAAAGTATGATCATAAAAAGTCAAAATAAGATTATTAAAAGTCTTACAAGACTACAAATAATGCAAAATAAATAATCTCTCACTCACAAATAAACATAAACAGGTATCTGAAGTCATAATTTATGAATTTAAAAGTCCCCCTACTATTAGCATTTAGAGGATCTTCAATAAAATCATCATTACAAATAATTGCTTTCTCTCCTCCCTCATACTTAAAATAAGAAAATAAATTTCCAACGACAAGAAGAGATAAGTTGGAGGAGAAGCGCCAGTAGCGCAATAGCATTGGCAATCCAGCAAGATCAGGTGAGGCCTGACAGTCCTGCAATGTGTGTCATGGGGCTGCAAGTTGGAGGTTGTGTGGTTCTTCACAAGTTTGATTTGACTTAAGTATAATAAATAAGTTCAGTTTTATAAATGATGTTTATAATTTAAAAATTTTTAAGTAACATAAACCCTAATTTTTTTAGGCTTACACCTATTCAAAATTGTGTTAAAATTATGTTGTGGAGGACCTCATCCCACAAGGCATAAGAATTATCTTGCAAGCTTGAGGCATATGTATCATTATTTTTTTTTAACTGCATTGAGTCAAGCCTTGAGAAGGGCCTCTAATTGTGCAATTTTAAATCATGATTAGACTTGAAGTCTTAAGACATAAAGAAAAGTTCCCAAATCCACAAAAGAATATTACTCCATTATATAGCTGCTACCTTTAGTGCGCCGCAGCATTACTGTCTTTAGGACTGCTTGAAGCTTTTTGTACCCATTGGTTGGATTCCGGCTGATTGGGATTTTTATTGTAGAGCAGAATGACTTATAAGCAGCATAAGGATCATATCTGAGAAATCGAAAATAGCTATAAAGATCATCAATCGCATTCTGGATGGGAGTTCCAGACAAGCACCACCTTCTCTTGGCCCGAAGTCCCCAGCATGCCCTAGCAACTTGAGTCCTGTGATTTTTAATACTTTGAGCTTCATCAAGTATTACCCTAAACCATCCAACTTTTGCAAGAGGACGAGAAGATTCGAGTATTGAATTGGCTGACGCAATTTTCTGTTTTGGATTTTTTGAACTTGCATTAGGACATTCCTTCCTCTTCTTGCTAGCTGAATTTCCTGCAAACAGACTACATCCATCGCGCTTCCTTGTCTCCATGTCATCTTTATCAACTAGTGGCTGCTTAGGTACTTCCATGCTTACAATAGCATATGTGGTGAGTACAACATCAAATTTGGCAAGCTCGTATGGATCTTTTGTTCGATTACTGCCATGATATACTAGAAATGATAAATTGGCCTTACTTGTAATCTTGTTTTGCAGTTCCTCTGCCCACTGTCGAAGAACACTTGTTGGGCAAACAACCAAAGTCCCCGCGGCAGGCCTTCCCCTGACAGGCACAAGAGAACCATCAACATTTATTGGCTTGATATGTGTGCTAGGGCCAGAATCCGAGAGCTGTTTCATCCTATTACCATCAGCACTGCCACCACCATCATCCTCATCAACCAAATTCAGATGTTCAAATTTAATTTTTTTCTGAGTCACAGAACTAGAAGCAGATGATGGAGACCTTTCCGTGAGGATAAGTGCAATAGTTGATACTGTTTTCCCTAATCCCTGCAAGATAAGAGCCTAAAACCATCAACGGCCAACTTTCTTTCTGTATTTGTACCCTCAATCAACCTACTATGACACAAAACAAAAAAAAAAAGTATCAAGCTTAAAAATAACCTGGTCATCAGCAAGAATGCCACCTGAGCAATTCAACCCAGAAGTCTCCTTTTGTACCATCCATGACAAAGCTATCCTCTGTCACAAACAAAAAAAAACTCCAATAAGATAAAATTAAGACGCGAAAAAAATCACAAATTGGGTAAAGAGCCCAGAAAGACCTGATGTTTCAAAAGAGGAACTGCTAAAACCCCATCTGGCGGGCTAGCTTCCGCCTTTGGTTGAGAAAGGTCCTGTCAAGTAACTTGTGCTGAGAAACTTGTAGCAACCATTACTCGTACAAGAAACAATGCAAGATAAACTAAATGAACAAATCTCTATTAAAAAATAACAAAAAAGAAGTAAACAGCCATTATAAAATACAGTTGCAAAAAGAAAACGAATAGCTGTTTTGGATCCATTAACAGTGGTTGTCATCATTAAAATAATAGTAATCTAAAAAAGCAGCTTATCATGATCATCATTAGGCTTATCCAAAATACTTAGGATTGGCTTAACGAATCCTCATTCCCATTCAACCCAATTGAGCCACATTAGGTGTTAACTCTATTATGCACAGCTTCTAATCATATTACCTTCGGTCTTCTATTTTCTTTTATATCTAAATATTTCACTTTAGTTTATCTATTGCTCTTATTGGTACATCTTTCACCCTCCATATATTTTATATCCATCTAAATCATTATGCAACTATCTTATCTTCAATATGTATTACTATCGCCATCTCTTTAATATTATCATTTATCATTCCTCAAAGCAATCACCTCAAAGTTACGACTACTGTTGCATGCAACTTATGCATCAATAATTTTTTTTAGCACCCAACAGTCAAATCCATATATCATCATCAATCTATTTGTATTTTAAAAGTTACCTTTTTTAACTATCCATGGCATTCTCTTTATCGCAAAATGTTGCATATTTATTTCTCCATTTCAACCCTTCAACCTTAAACCCTAACTTCACAAGATACCTAATTCAATTCTCATTCTTATGAATAGATCCAAAATACTTAAACCTTTCACACGTATGTATCATTTCATCTTCAAGTAATATTAACTAATAATTATTTCTAATAATTCAAAATAAATTGCATATCATATACTTGGTCAATATTTTATTAATCTTACACCTCTTATCTCCTAAATGCTTTTCTGTAATGTTATAAAATTTTACTTATTCCAAACTTCGACCAAAAGTCGCATCATTTAGAACAAGTCATCTAAAAATAGCATATAACAAAAGTCAGATTCGCATCAAAGTTCTTGCTTACGCTGTGAAAACCTTGATCCGAGTATCAATGGCCGAAAAAAGAGTTGAGATGTTGGAAGAAAAGTTGGAGGGGGAAGTAGGGCAACTACAAGCGGATGTTAATGAACGTATTTCAGCATTGGAAGGAAGGTTTGGGAATATAGAAGAGATGATGAAGTGGATGTTGGAGCTTCATACTAAAACAACCCCACCAAAATCAAAGAGAGATCAGGAAGATGACATGCCCGAGGGAAGATAGACATGGAGATATTTTAGGAGGGGGAGGAGGAAATACCCCACCTGAAGTCTCTACCGAGAAGTAGGACGGGTAGGAATAAGCATGTAGGAGGGAAGGAAAAAAAGAGAACATGCATGCTGAATTAGGAGGAAGAAGGGAAAATAAGTGGAGCAGAGAGGAGAGGAAACCGTTGAAAGGCCCTAATGCTCGCTTCATGGGAGGCATGGGGGGCAGAAGGGAACATTGGGGTGGGAGAGATCAGAAGATTAAGAAGCTAAAAATGCATGGATTTGATGGAGAAGACACGCATGGGTGGATATATAGGGTGAAGAGATACTTTGCAATGAACGGATTGATAGAAGATGAGATAGTAATGGTTGTCACTCTCTGTCTTGAAGGGAAGGCATCGTCATGGTACCAATGGAGTGAGACAAGGTACCCAATGCATTTGTTGGAGGAGTTAAAGGAGCATTTGTTGGTGCGCTTTCGAGCCCAGTAGGATGGGGACTACTTTGAGCAATTGTTTGCATTGACATAGGTCGGTACTTGATGGAGTATCGAGAAAGATTTGAGCTTCTGTCAGGACGAGTAGGGAGGTTGCCGAATGTTGGAAGACAATTTTATGAAAGGCCCCAAACTAGAGTTAAGGGTAGCAGTGCGGGTGACTTGGGAGAGGCGATGGAGTTGGCTCAAATGATTGAGAACAAGAAATCACAACATAAGAGTAGTAAAGGGCTCAGTAGAGGAGGTTCTTACCTCACGATGACCACTTTCCTGGCAACTAGGATGCAAACTGTACTAGTTAAAAGGGAGACTCCAAAGGAGGGCAGCTCAAGAGTCCAACAGAGAGGTGATTTCAAGAGGCTGACTAATACTAAACAGCAAGACAAGAGAGTTAAGGGGCTATGTTTCAGTTGCGATGAGAAATTTACACCGAGGCATAAGTGTAAAAATCGCACTTTGCAGGTTCTCATTGTGTGTGATGAGGAGGTGGATAAGACAGAAGCAATGTGGGAGGAAGAAGAGGATGACGAGCCCATGGATCTGTAGTTGGTTGGAGTTTCAATTAACTTGGTAGTGGGAATCACCCCAAATCACACTATGAAAGTAAGGAGACATATAGGAGGAGAGGTGGTGGCAATTCTAGTGGACAGTGAGACTACCCACAATTTTATATCGAACCGGGTGGTAGACAAACTGGGCTAAAATTGGTAGACCCTGAAGGACTTGGAGTGATGATGGGCACATGAAAGGTAGAGAAGAGCAGAGGGATAAATCAACGTTTAGAGGTAGAGCTGCAAGGGATTCACATTAGGGAGGACTTCCTTCCATTAGAGTTGGGGAGTACTGATTTGATGTTGGGAATGAAATGGCTACAAACCTTGGGGGAGACCAAGGTGAATTGGAAAGCATTGGCCATGGAGATCCAGGTGGAGGAAAAAAAGGTGATAACTAAGGGAGACCCCAGGCCCCAACTTATACAAAGCAATGGTTTCTTTGAAAACCATGGTTCGTGCCCTACCAAGAGGAGAGGGATTCTTGGTGGAGCTTTATAGTATGGAAGGAGAAGAAGATGGGGAGAAGATACCATACATGGTTCAGTCACTCCTATAGTAGTATCCAAAGGTGTTCCAGTCAGTTCAAGGGTTGCCTCCTTCGCGAGAACATGACTATGTTATCATCATGAAGGAATTAGTCTCACCTATTAGTGTTCATCCATACCGTTATCCCCAAATCCAGAAGGAAAAGATCGAGAGATTGATCATGGAGATGTTGGAGGCAGGGATTATTCGACCCAGCATCAATCCATTTTCAGTCCAATGCTTTTGCAACAGTTTCCTTCGTTCCACCTTGAGGACAAGGCGGCACATTGGGAGAGGAGAATTGATGGACAGGCCGATTTGATTGGGAGGAAATTAGGAAATTTTCTAATCAAAAGAGAGCTTTTTAGGAAGGTTCTTAATCAAAGGGGATTTATTAGGAGATGTTACCTAATTAAAAAGAGCATATTTGGGGGCTGATTTAGAAGATATTGATTAGGAAATATTTCCAAATTAAAGATGGCAGATTTGGAGGGCTGGTTTGGGGACTGATTTGGAGGGGATAAATTAGTAGATGTGTCATAATTGGAGATGGCTGATTTGGGGGGGGGGGGGGGGGGGGGGGCGCGTTGGTGGTGTTTTAAAATTTGTTGGTTATTATTTGCTATAAGTAGTTGAGGTTATGTTATGTTGTGTATGCAGAATTTTATAAGTGTTTGTTGTCAAATATTTTTGTGAGGGATCCTAGAGGCACCTAGGGTTTGGGAGAGACGGTCCTCTCGAAAGAGGATCATTGTATCTTGTTTCTGCATATTTTTGGATTTATCAATAAAAATATGTTGTTTGCTTAATTTGTATTGTTTCGTTGGTTATTTTTAATACCAAGGTGTATCACTCATCATGTCGTTTTTGAGTGTTGGAAAATCTTGGATTATGACATACTGATAATATTTGGTGCTCCTATGTTCATATGCTGTACTATCAGGTGGGTGGTGTATGAACGAAACATAAATTTGATAATTTGACAATGGACAAAGCATATATAGTTATCCACGCATGTATATCACAAGATGATCTCTTGATAAGGTCCACGGAAGGCTGCATAAAGGAAGAAAGAAATCCTAAAATATAATATTCCTTTAACAGAAAAACTGAATAGTTTAAATGGTCATTAACCAAAGAGTTTTTTTCTGACAACCTGCAAAGCAAGCTGAAAAGTTAACCACTCATCATCAGGCCTACTTCTTGAGGTTCCTGAACCAGCACGATTATCACTAGAAGTACATCTCTGAGTCATCAGATGAGGATTTACAAGAGCTGGTGGTGGAGCAGGAGGAACAGGACTAACATCATCAAGAATAAACAAGTCAGCATCATCATCTAAGGTTGAGTTCTTTCCAGAGGGATTGCTTTGACTAGCAATGTTGGCAACTTTTGAAACTTGATGCTGCAGTTGATGAGTATTAGGTATCTGATGTTGTTTTTTATCCTTTATCAAATCTTTGTGTTCCTTCCTTTGCAAAATCAATTTATGAGAAATCAATTGTCTTAAACTATTGGAAGGAGAACCGTCAAGATTAAGCACCATAGGTTTGTGAATATAAGGCAAGGGTGAAGAGTCTGAGCTAGATTCACTCAACATACCCATATCCTCACACCTATACTGCTGAGCATACAAGCCGCTAGGAAGCATTGCATCCATGTCTGCAGGGGAGTCCTCCAGGACAGAGCTATGAGGGAATCGTTCCTGCACGGTGCAATTAAGTAAGTCTTTGGACAAAAACAGCTGAGTTCCTTCTTCATTATTCCCAGGAAACTTTGTCACATTAGAATGTGGTAAACCATTCAACTTAACTGGCAAACTTGTTCTCGACACTTCTTCAGCACTAGCCACAAAATCTTCAGAATTCGTTAAAGAACTATTATTAGCATCATGAAAATATCTGACTCTTTCTGTGGAATGTATGTCAGGACTAATTTTATATTGCTGGGGTATAGCAAGATCTATATCTACAGTCGAGTCCTCTAGAAGAGAGCTATGAGTGGATTGTTCCTGCATGGTGCACTTAACTGAATCTTTGGACAAAAATAACTGCGTTCTGTCTCCATTCTTTCCATGAAACTTTGCCACCTTATCATGCGGTAAACTGCTCACCTTAACTGACAAGCATGGCCTCAATAGAGCATCAGCACCAACCAAGAAGTCTCCAGGGGCCGTTAAAGAACTATTGATAGCATCATGAGAATCTTTGATTCTATATGTAGAATTTATCTCAGGGCTAATTTTATACTGCTGGGGTAAATCAAGATCCATATCTACAGTGGAGTCCTCTAGGAGAGAGCTATGAGGGGACTGTTCCGGCTTGTTGCACTTAGCTGAATCTTTGAACAAAAAAATCTGACTTCCTTCTCCATTCTTTCCACGAAACCGTGCCAAGTTATCGTGAGGTAAACTTCTCACCTTAACAGACAAGCACGGATTCAAAACAGCTTCAGCATCAACCAAGAAGTCTCCAGTGGCTGTTAAGGAACTATTGTTAGCATCATGAGAATCTTTGATTCGATCTGTGGAATTTATGTCTGGACTAGTTCTATAATGCTGGGGTAAAGCAAGATCTTCTGACTTGCATGCTACAAAACTTGCGTGAACTTTTTTACTTTGCACTGTGGAACCTAGCATAGCACCTCTATCCATGTCAGAACATGTTTTATTAATGGATCCATACTCCTCCGTCAACGTAATATGCGCCAAACCTGAAAGTGACTAGCAAAAGTTCAGATATCTTTCAAAAAAATACAACACCACCAAAAATCAAACCTACAAACAAAGGCAAACATACTTGCTTCTCCCATCTGCAGCAAATAAGGGGATGAAATATTGTCCATATCAGTATTAAACTTGCTACAACCATTCTGTAACGGGGTTTCACAATTCTGATTCTCAAGGTTGTCTTTCAGACCAACCGGGTCAGTATCACCGGTAAAGTTAAATTGTTGCTGGTAAAAAAGACCAAATTCGTCAGCACTCCCCTGAGAAAAACTGCAATTAGGGCTATTATTTTGCAGTTTATTAAAGTTCACATCATCAGTTACAAAAGTTCCATATGAGTCACCACATGAATCTATTACAGAAATATCCAAAGAAGTAGATGGCAGTCTCAACCAACAGGAAGAATGAACTGATGGAAAAGAGCGAAATCCATTAGATTCAATCTGATGGGAGGTGCTAGGATTTTTCTCATCAAAAGGTTCTCCACAGCAGATGCAATTGAAATGATTGAAAGTCCCTTCATGCTCAACAAGACGTCCAATCCATGGATCACTGCACTCTGATTCATCCAAAGAGTTTGGATTGTCCAACTCAGAAGGCCAGGATTCTAGAAAATCAACGCAAGAAACAAATGATGAATTACACAAAAAGACAAAAATCAAGCCTGTAACATGTTAAATAAATCTGACTAATTAAAAAAAGAAATGAATGAAGACACCACTATGCGACATGAAACAAACAATAATCAGAGTGAAAATATATTCACCACGCTGAGGATGCAAAGCTTTGTGATCCTTCTGACAATCAAGCTGCTCTGGATGAGAACCCTCTGGAATACTCTGTTAGTTTGTCAAGAAACAGAAAATCAAAAAAATGAATATAAGGAGATGGATACGGAATATATAGGCAGAGAGAATATCGTGCATACTTAATGTTGTTTACATAAACAAGACATAAGAGGACCTAATTATTACAGGAAAATATAATACATTCACAATTGACTTCCCATGCATCAAAAAGACACACGGGATAACCAATATCAATCAGTTCTAAGAGGCAAATAGACTAAGATGAAGTATGAAATCAATGCCAGATATGGAAAACATAAAAGGTAAATAGTTGTTTCTCCCATGCCAATGGTGCTAGAGAGTGTAGACTAAAGGCAAACTAAAGTTGTTCTTGATACATCAATGGTCAAACTCATTCCAACCCAAAACCTTAAGCCTATAAGTGAGGGCCAACCATTGGTATTCTTAAAATAATATATTTTCAACTATCCAATGTAGAATTAAACACAATAATGTTATGTGCCTCAACAAACCTCGCCATTCCAATTATCAAAAACTGTACATATAATTAGAACTATTCACGGGTAAATAGTGAATTTCTGCATCTGGAACTAAAAAGGCAGAGCTTGTCATATTACAAGAGTTCAATCTAGTAATAAACGTTAGACAAATGGTTGTTATCTGCTCATTAAGCACATTAGGTTCTGAAAAGCATAAAAAATAAAAATGAGAATATTGGCACTTTGAGAACCAACTTCCAGAATGGAATGCATGAAAATTTGCAAGTCTAAGGTGTTTATCTTTCGTTTATTAATGAAACAATAAGAAATGTAGGTGATCAGAAAGAATAACATAGGTGGCAAAATTGAGAACATTTGCCCTGCTCTCTGGAGGCTAAACAAATTAGAAATTTTAAGTAAATTTATTTTTCACAAACATTTATAAGTCGAACAGCTTATTTAACACTATACCTAGGTACAAGGGGCTGGAGACTTAATAAAATCATATTCTGAAAAGAGCTAAAAGTGCACAAGTCAAACATGAACAAGTTGTGGTTATATTTGGTTCGATTTATCAAATCTAGCCAGACGAGAATCAATCTCAAGTTTGTTTAAGATCAAAAAAATCTTTTTCAATCTCTGCTAGGTTATTATCAAGTAGAACACAAATCAAAAGCCAAGTCAATGACAACAAACGCATCAACATTTTTTGTTTGATGACACCAAAATATATACATACATATATAGATATACATGTATGTATGTATATATATATAATTGTGTGTGCCCGCAGGCATGCGCCTGTATTTATTTACGAATATCAAGCTCTTATCAAATCGAACATAATAGAATAAACTCATCTTCATGACTAACTCATTCAAAAAATACAACAACAACAACAATAAGTTTTTATCTTACTACATGGGTTCGGCTACATGAATCTTTTTCTCCATTGTGAGCTGTTAAGAGTCAAATTCTCATTTAAATCTAATAAAAAAATCATTTCTAATATTTTCTAAACGTGTCTTTTTAGGTCTACCTCTAACTTTCTTAACATAAGTCAAATCTAATACATCTAATGTCCTAATCGGGTCATCGGAAGGCCTCTCTGTTTATGTGACCAAACCATCTAAGACGATTTCTCGAATCGTATCTTCCACTAGTGTGACTCTAACATTTTCACATATATGCTTGTTTCGTATCACGCCACTAAGAATAAAGCCACTCATCCACATGAGCATCATCATCTCAACAAAACTTAACTTAATATTATGCTTCTGTTTTGATGGCCAACATTCTACACCATAAAGCATTGCAGGTCTCACCACCATCTTATAGAATTTTCTCTTAAGTTTGAGGGGGACTTTTCTATCACACAACAAGTCCGATGCATTCCTCCACTTCAACCATCCAGCTTGAATTCTACTAATAATATCCCCATCTATTTCACCATCACTCTGAACAATAGACCTAAGATATCTAAAATGTATACTCTTATTAATGATGACTTGATCGCCAAAAGTCACAATCCCCCCACTAGATTTATTACTACTAAAATTATCCTCCATATATTTTATTTTAGATCTACTCAAACGAAAACCTTTAGACTCTAAGATTGATCACCATAATTCAAGTTCACCTTCAACTCCCTCTCTAGTCTTAGCAACAAAAAGAATATCATCAAAAATAAACATATAAATTTTGTTCCAGATCAACTCATTCAGTTAAACAGCAAAAGAACTTACACAGATTGACAAGCTAAGATAACAATGAGCTTTGTTTACAACCTAGCAACGCAAGTACTTTTCATATCAGTAAACTTAATTATTACACCAACTTCAAAGAATGGCAATCAACTATGCAAATATAGAAAATGTGTCCTCCAATAATGGCTCAGCGAATAATGGGTAGGGGAAATTAATCAATTTAAAATGACATATAACAACAAAATATAGATCAAATTAATATACAGACAATCTTTCAATTCAATTGTGATAACTTCACAGTATAAAGTTGTCATTAAGGTGAACATAATTGAGCTCTCTCTTATTCGTGATCGACCAATTAAAAAATAAAAGCTAATAAATCTTGTTAAGTTCAACTTATTTAGTGAAATCAAGTGTGACCGCTAGCAAGTTGCCTGGCAGAACATGAGCTCATTGTGCTTTTTTAAATAGCCAAAGTCGACAAGTACTTTTCAAAATCAAGAGATTTATTACAATAAATTTAAAGGATGGCAAAAACTATAACATGTTAGAAATGATCCGTCCAAGAATGACTCAACTAGTAATGGTATTGAATCAATTTGAAATGACATAAAAACAAAATTATTGTCCATTTGATACATGCACAAAAAAGTTTCAATTTGTTTTGAATTATTCATATGTCAATTGAAGAGGTCGTGCCAAATCATTACAAGTTACACATAAAGTGTCAACTATGACCTTTGGAGAGAAATTCATGTGTGATGCAACCTAGGTTCTTAAGCCAAGTAGGAGAACACAAGGAATGCAAATGATAACACTCCCTCTCAATATAACATAAACAAACACAAATATTGAAAACTAATTAGAAAACTAAACTTAGAAAATTGTAGGAAGACACACAAAATAACCAAACAACTATATTAAATACCCTCATAACAACTTTGTAAGGCCACCTTACATGCAAATAACAAAAATAGGAAATAGGGGCTCAAAGGAAAAGACAAACTAGAGATCCACCACATAAAGGTATAATCCAGCACAACTCTATTATCCTCTGGCAAATACTAATAGAACGGGGCACAACACACCTTACTACTAGTAATAGTTTAGAGAATAAAGATAAAGATGAAATGGAAACCATGGAGAGAAGTAGTAGAAAGAAGTTTGAGATAAATTAGTGGATGGAAGGTAGAAGACAGCTCGCAAGCTTATAAAAAACCCTCAAGTTCTCATAATAGTTTAGAGAAAAAAGATACATATTGAATGGAAACCGTGGAGAGAATAAGTAGAAAGAAATTTGAGATGAAGCATTAGAAGATAGGGAGAAGATAGCTCGCAAGCTAAGAAAACCATCAGGTTTTTTACATGATCACACCCTCCAAAACTTTTTTGCACAAAGAAATTCAGCCCCTATTTATAGGAGAAAGAGAAAGGGGGAATGGCATTTATTATCCCGCACAAATGTGTCACCAAAACAGCCATTAAAACCCCTCCAAATCAGCCTATTTAGGGAGAAGTCAAAGCAAACAGCACAAGGATCAGCAAGGGGAAGAAACCAAGCAGCCAGCAGCAAAGAAACCAATAAAATAGTAGGGAAATCAAGCATCCAGCAACAGGAAAACCAAGCAGCCACTTGGGAAAACCAAACAGCCACCATGGGAAGACCAAACATCCACATGGGAAGACCAAACAGTCACATAGGGAAACCAAATAACATTAGGGAATTTAAACAATCAGCATGTAAAATGAGTAGACAGCAGGAAAAAGGAAAAGAAAGCCAGGAAATTTAAAGAAGCCACAAGAGATAAAGAGCTATAAACACAAGTGGAAGACCAATGGAATGAACCTACCAAAGAGCAATGAACCCAAGCATGATCATGGGTTGTTTTCCATCTTAGGGCCATACAAAATAAACTTCCATAGCATCCAAAAACATAAGAAAATTTTTTTAAAAAAAAACATAAAATCATAATTCTTGATTACATCAATATCCCTTCCCATCACTTGTAGACCTTCTAACATTTTAGAGCTTCGGCATGCTTACCATTAAATTCATACACAAAAGGCTCTCCGCGCAACATTTGGCAGTAAAATCATACAAGCCAGTTCAGCCCATTTGTAAGAAAAGAAAAACACCAAATAATGATCCAGGTAAAATTAACAACATTATCTTTGCTATATTTTATGCATATCACCAATCAAAGCTTTTAATTTGTAGCATAGGGGAGGATAAATTCATGAAATCACAAGATCAGAAAGCCGTAGTCATAATTTCAAAGTAAAAAAAAAATATGATCTTCTACTTATTTAATATTCTAAAATAAGTCCTCTGACCTGAAATATCCTCTGCAATTAACAAGCACAAACTAAGAAACAATCTCTTCAACATTCCCTCTAAAATTCTTCTATATCATTAAAATTACAAGAAACAATGCTAGTTTACTATAGTTCTGGGTAGACAAGTTAATAGAACCAGTAAATTTTTATGAGACGATTTAAATGAAAAAATTATCCATCTTACTGGAAACCGCCTTAAAAACAAATTCAGAAGCAAAATCATTGCTCTATAATCATAACCTGAGAAAGTGAATCCAGCAAGAATAGAAGAACGTTGCCCCTAACTTACCAGGGTTTAAAAGGATTGTTAAATCCCCACACCACCCCCACCCCAAAAAAAAAAAAAAAACTTCCATTAATTTCTCTCCTTATTGGCCACATGCTGTTCAAGAGATGAAGCATGCATTTTCCCGGTGGTTCTTTAAGAATTTCAAACATACTTCTGCAATGAACTTGACAATCCCAGAGAAAATAAAACTCTGGTATCCATCAAAAAACCAAACACGACAAACTTACAACTGGAAAGCAAACTCCCATCAAGTCATCAATATCCCAACCAGAAATGGAAACTACATAAAAACCAAAATCACCCCAACAAACAAAGAGCAACAAAGAAACATATCACCATAGGCGGTACGCAGTACTCACCAAGGAATTGGGGATCGGCGGAGCAGGCTCCTCGTCTAAAATCTTAAACAGTGTCTCGATGCTGAAGGACAAATTGTCCGGGTAATCCTCTTCCATGGGCATCCCATCATAGTAACCATTCACGTCCTCCTCCAACATAGCTAGCATCTAACAACACAACAGTAGCAACAGCATCAAAGGAACTGGTAAAAAAACAAAAACCTAAATTCCACCCCCTTATCGGCCCGTGATAAGTAAACTATCCGCAATTCCTCCAAAACCCTAATCCTCCCGAGTCGACCACAGCAACCCAAAAGCCGTTTACGATTAGGAAACGCTCAGGAAGATAGGTACAAGAGAATGAGGAACGATTCGATCATCCGGCAATCTGTAAAGCGAGAAAGAAAACGCGCACTCTTTACAAAATTAGAAAAAATGAGGAAACTACCTTCTCACAACTTTTTCATTTAAGACCCTTTCTTTTCTGCTTTTCGCGTAGCAGACCATGACCGTGCCGTTTTCCGCGGGCCGCAGCTGCGGCAAGGAAACAACTTGAACAATCTAAATACAAAAAAGAGTAAGGGCTGGTTGTAATTTTTTATATTCGTTCACACTTTACCGACAGGTTTACTCTCCAAACGCCGGGCGCGCTTTTAGCTATATATAAACTCGAGAGTATCAAGAAGCCGTTTGGTAACTTTGGTTGGATTAAAAAATAAATACAATTTAAAAACGAATGCAATTTAAAAAGAATTTAATATATTTAAAAGGGGTTTTTACATACATACCACTTTATTCTTTATATTTTGCATATCTAACACCTAAAACTTAAATATTACACAACTACAACTCAAACACAAACTTAACCTCATATCTGCCACTCCGTCAAAAGCATGGCTCACTCCGTTTCTCCATCCGCCTCCTCTTCTTCCTCCTGCAACCACTCCCCTTCCGCAACTCTCGACCTCATCATTCTCATCCTCGTCCTCTTCTCCTGCACCTTCCTCATCGCTTCGTCGTTCTCGCACATCATCCGCGCTGTTTCCTCACTGATTCCTCTCATCCCAATCTCCGACCCTCTCCCCTTTCTCGGTTGCCTTCATCGGCGCAGTCTTGCTGCCTTCATCAAAAAGTTTGATGAACAAGAAGTATCACATGGTAAAATAAGATCGCCTCACTCAAACAAATTCACTGCGGTCAAAAATATCTGCATTCTTGCTGCCTTCATCGTCGCAGTCGAGATCGCCTGTTTTTGACGGAGTAAGCCATGTTTTTGACGGAGTGGCAGATATGAGGTTAAGTTTTTGTTTGAGTTGTAGTTATGTAATATTTAAGTTTTAGGTGTTAAATATGTAAAATATAAGGAATAAAGTGGTATGTATGTAAAAAACCCTATTTAAAATTACTTGGATGAATGTAAAATAAATATGTATAATTATTTTTTAGCTTTTAGGGATTTTGGGATCCGGAAAGACAATAATTTCTTTTGTGCGAAACTGGACATTAAAAAAGCATTTGATTCTGTATCAGGGAGTTCCTCATTGCTAGAATGATAGAGAAAGGTTTCCCCCACAAGTTCATTTCTTTGAGTCAAAGGATGCATTTTTTATGTTCCCTTTTCTATTTGTATTAATGGTGCATTGGAGGGCCACTTTCAATCCTCTTCTGGGCTTCGTCAAGGCTGCCCACTTTCCCCTTTATTGTGTTGCTATTGTCATGGATGTCTTCTCTTGTGCTTTAGATGCGGGGAATTTTTTGGGAATTACTTGTGGCCCTAATATCTTCAATCACTTACTCTATGTTGATGATGTGCTAGTGTTTGGCCCGGCCACTATTGGAAATGCTCAAGCACTGAATGCCACCTTGGACTTATTTGCGACACTCTTGGCTCATTGCTAATAAGAACAAATGCTCTATTATTTTCTCCCAAGGCTCCTCTTTCATTCAAGACTTCCAAAGTATTCTTGGGTTCCCTATATCTGAACATTCTCTAAAATACCTTGGCATTCCCATTGCCATTAAAAATCCTCTCACTTCCAACCACTCCTCGGCATAATTTCTACTCTACTTGCTGGTTGTAAAGTTAAGTTTTTATCTTTTGCAGGTAGAATTCAGTACCTCAAATTTACTATTGTTAATACTTTAGCTTACTGGATAAGAGGTGCGATCATACCTAAAAGATGTTGCAAACTGACAGATAATATGTGCTCCAAGTTCCTCTTCTATGGTTCCACTACTGGGTAGAACATTCACCTTATAACTTGGAAGAACATTTGTTTGCCTACCTGCTTTGGTGGGCTTGGAATCTCTAACTTTAATTCTCTTTATTTTGGGTATGCCTGCAATTTCATTTGGAGACTCTACACTCACAACACTCAAATTTCTAAATGGCTTAGATGTAAACACCATTTCCCTTTCAAACCTCCTTCACTGAAAACTTCCAAGTTCTGGAAGTTCTCCTGCTCTGTTGCTGCTCGAATTAAACACTTACTCCACTTCCAGATTATAAATTGTTTATCAATGACTTGGGACTCGTGGGTTAATGGTAAATCGGTGGCTAATTTAGTTCACCCTATTCCCAATGCTTATCTTAATGTGAAATAATTTATTCACAATGGGGATTGGCAGCTGAAAGGTGTATTCTCTGTTGATGCTTGCTCTTTAATTACTCCTATCCCTATTCTCGACGGGAGTTCCAACATTATATGGAAGGGAGATGGTGTCCCCATTTTTAAAACTTTTAAGAAGTTTTATTTTCCAATCACCTGAAAGTTAATTGGCATAAATATATTTGGCACAAGCGATTTGCTTTAAGATACTCATCATATGCTTGGCTGGCAGTGTTGGATGGCCTTAAATCTATGGAAGTGCTCGCTAAAAGGAACATTTTCATAAATCCCACTTGCCCCTTGTGTGAGGAGGAAGATGAAAGTATTATGCATCTTTTTTTCCAATGCGATTTCTCCTTTCATATTCTTTGTATCTTGATGCCTTATGTTGAGACGTTCCTTTTGAGACCTACTCTTTTACAGCTTTTTGATATTTTGGATGATGTTCACTGGTACAAATCTCATGATAAAAACTTCAGTTTTTTGTGGTTTGTTGTTTGGTATATTTTATCTGGCGGGAAAGGAATAATAGAAGATTTTCTAGAAAGCAAGCCTCCCCTATTGTTGTGTATCACCTGGTAATTACGGCTATTTCTTTTAAAGCTATAAGATGGAAAATGTTAGAAAGTTTAACTGCCAATTTTCCTACTTGTTTCACTCGTCAACTATGTTATCAGGTTGGACTTTCGATCGCCTCTAGGCAATGATGAGCCGAAGTGGTGCTTCGTTTTCCCTGGATGGCCTCTTTTCCATCTGCATTATGGTCTAGCTTTGGCCTGGCATTTTTGTTCTGCACCCGTTGGACCATTATGGGGCTTTTTGATGGCAACCGAGAATTCACTCTTCGAAGTATGCTCTTTTACAGGCAAGGAGCTTTTTGAGCATTGATTGATTTCATGCCGCCTGTCCACCAGTTAGAGATCTTCCTGAGCACTATATGGCATTTTTGTGATCTTTTTTGGTTATACATGTGTTTTTGCTTCACAACTTTTTTACATGTATATCTTTTGAGATGAATTTCATCTTTCTTGTAACCCTTTTTATTTAATATACGGGTTGTGCCCCAAATTTTCCCAAAAAAAAAAAAAATAGCTTAAAGTAATATAAAACACAATAATAATAGTGGTTGGTGACCGACTAGTTCTAGTGATGAGTGTCATATGACGGTGGTGGAGGTCTGTAACGGGTAATGATCAATGGCAAGTTACAGGTGGCAAGTGATGGCCGGTGGCAGGTGATGGTCAATGTCGTTGTTAGCTTGCGATGTTAATTGCAAATATTTACATGACTTAAAAAAATCAACCAGTTCTAAAGATTTCTAAATATAAAAAATAAACTAGATGATAAATTTCGAGTATTTTAAATTTCTACTAACCATATTTTTTACTCCAAAACAAACAACAATAATTTCATAACATCTATATTTAAAATGCTTTGCACCCCCTTTAATTTCAAACAAAACAACCCCTTACAGTATTGAGAAATTGGTCAAATTTAATGATTTGCAAATTTATCAAAATTGAACTAGATGGTAAACTTTAAATACTTTAAACTTATTTTGTGTTTTTTTTGTTTCAAACAAAAAACTAATATTTTCAAAACCAATGTACTTGAATACAATACAAACCAAATAGCCCTAATTTGAAGTACAAAGACAATAAATATAAAGAATTTTACATTCATTAAGTTGAAAATGCTTCGAGCATACAGGTAAAGGAATCTCTACCTCTTCATCATCCCTCTCTTCCAACATAATATGATATTATTATTGCAAAATGGCAAGTTTGAATAAAATAAAAAAATTAAAAATACAACAAACCATTACTTCCCTTTAATCCATAATAAGAACAAACTTAATTATACTTGCATGTTAGAGCATGAATAGTCTCCACAACTAATTATGGAGCCATATGTATTAACATCTCTTTTTCTTGCACTAAATCTAGATTTAGAAGCAACTAAGTAAATTGGTATTGATAGGATATCTACAACCATACTTGATAATATGTGATACTTTATTTGATTGTTCTTCTATCATGCAATAATATCAAACTATGACCTTTTAGACAAATTTCCAAAACATTTTTAATAAATTTATTCAAATTTAATTTTAGGGGTCTCTTGCATATTGTCTCTAATGCATAAGCAGTGAAATAATGCCAACCATTGTATTTCTTTATCCCATTGTTTTAAGTTGATATGAAACTACTAGTTGCACCTGATCTCCCTATTCTAAATGTGGCACTTGCATGTTCAATTCATGGCTCAAAATATGCAACATACTTTTTATACGACTCAAATAATAAACTGCAAACATATGAGATATTTTGTATGTTTTCACCTTCATCGTAAATCATGGGCTATATAAATTCCATTACAAGAAAGTTCTGTTATCATGCTCTGGCAGTCATCATACCAAAATATGTGTTTTGCCTCACCAACGGAAGTGGAGCAGAGGGCACAGTTCTGGCAGCAGCAGATGCTGCTTTCCACTTACATTTCAGTTGGAATTTTATCTATAAATACTGCACTGTTCATAAGAGCACAAGAGAAGAAATGAAATGAAAAGAAAGAAGCTTCAACCATTTTCTCTGTTCTCCTCTGCTTGTGAATACTAACGTTCTTCTTTCTGCAGATTTCATGGTATCAGAGCCCGTGTAAGCCTTACGGCTTGAGTTCGTTTTTTTTTTCTTCTCTAATGGATTCCGGCAATTCCTCTACTGCCGACAGTCTTCCAGCTGCCGCTCCGCTTCCATCTACCGAGGACGTCAATGTCGCTCAGCTAATGGGGATGGTGACTATTCC